AAATTTGTTCTGTGATCCAACAACATCTCATAATCAGGGAACCCATAGAAAAGAGTTTGCGTTATCTTCACTATTAAGTTGATAGAAATAGCTTTGGGCGCTGTTCGGCGCCCCAAAGTGAGGCGAGGGCGCCCTTGCGACCCTAAAGAACATTTCTTCGTAGAGTTTGCTTCATTCTTGTATGTCTTTTCCTACATGTCAATTTAATAGCTTTTAAAAAATCCAAAAATCCCATTGTTTTTGATAATTATAAGGGCCTTAAAGAATATTTCGATTAATTCGGAGCTTAGAAACACCCAATAACTTTCTACACAATGGTTTAAAATAGGCAGGCTATCTTCTTTTTATACGGTATTAATGGATCACTTCAAAAAAAAATAACAGAATGCAGGATTAACTAATAGCTACAAAAGTTCTTAAATTCCGGCCCCTTTCTGCTGCTAAAGCTTCTCCAGTAGAACCCGCGGGCACTTCCTCTGCGCGCAGAGCAAATACGGGTATGAAGGCTATTATAAAACCCTTATATACTAATTTCAAAGTTTTTTCTTTAATCCAGCGGAAAAGTTGAAAACCTGTTTTCCTTTAGTGTTCTCGAATGTTCTCGAACATTCTTCACCTACAATAAACCATGTGACATAAGTTTATGGACATGCGCATTACTAGAAAAAAACTCACTGACCGGTTTAATACCCTTTACAATGGCCCCCATCAAACTTTAATTTTTTTCCACTTAATGTAGGTGTAAGATTATATCTTTATTTGGGTTAACATAATTTTTAGTGTTAACTATAAAAACTGTATATAACATTAATTGAGATCCCACGCCATCTTTACGAATGACTCCCCTGCTGTTTTGTCCGAAGATCTCAAATTGCAAGCGCCCTTCATGGCACAGCCGAGTCGATAGCTTGCTCGGTGGCACCCTTGCGGCCTATGCTGTTGAGCACGTACTGTGCATACTAGGCCTCCTGCCACCAATACACTTGGCAACTACACACACAATGAACATACTAGGTATCCCGCCATAATAAAGATATACACCTCACAACAGTAATTGATGCGCTCCACGGGCTGTCTTCCAATCACCTTGCAGTTATTTTCTAATTAGGTGACGAGAAGGAGACACCGAAGACTATCATACGTTTTCTTACCAACAGAAGTCGTCTTCACCTGCCCTGCTGGACGATGCTGTCGCCTTATTCGAAAGCGCACTGAACATGGTTCGCACAAGCCACGAGAACTCGTGGAGTAATGTACCGCCCGGCGCTTATCCACCAACGTCGACGTCTTATCCCAGTGGCCATGTTGGCGCAGAGCGCCGATTTTTATAAGTCTAATCAGCTGCACAGGTACATAAGAAAGAAGCTAATGACCCATTTTAACAATAAATGGGAGGCCAAGCAGCACCATATAACTGAATTAGGCAAAGCAGTCGCTCCTTTTCTTGGAATTTTGTTGAAAAGATCAAAATCTGAAAGTTGCACCATACCGCTTCCTAGTGAAGGTAATATATCGACCGAGAATGACGAAGACTTAGCTCACTTTTCTACACTTTTCGCTAATCTCCCTGCTGCCCAAAACGTGCCGCCCGCCCACTTAACTTCCAATGATGCGCTCCCTCAGTTGAGCTAACCCCTTTCCAGTGTCCACGAACCTTTTGCTGCTTTCAAGCTGTTATCGAAGCGTTACATGAACGAAAAGCGCCTGTCCCGATATTATCAACAGGGATGCCTATACGTCCTAGTAAAATTTGCGATGGTCCTTGGCGCCTTTCCGATCTGGTGGAGGACGGCAACCGTTGTGATGCCCCAAAGACACTTGAACCGGAATTAGAAACCACCAAATACCGATCCATCAGTCTCCTGTCAGCTCTCGGCAAAGTAGTGAGGCCATTTTACTGCGCCGTCTAAAAGAGATCGTTCACGCTCGGGACGCTTGCCGGAGTTTCAGTTTGGATTTTGGCAAGGACACTCACGAGCCAGCAGCTCCGCTTAACCGAGGACTACTCGCGCTTTTAACTCTAAAAACACAACAGGCGCTGTTTTCCTTGACGCTGGAAAAGCATTTGATCAAGTTTGGCATGGTCTGCTGCACAAAAAACTGCGCTTGTTATCCGTTTCTCATGACCTGACAACGTGCTGAAGCCATATCTTAATGGCTACATCTTCAGCGTGCCGGGGAAGATTTACAGTCGCCGCTGCGATCTCTGACAGCAGGGGTCCCTCAGATCCCTTCTTTAACCCTTTTTATTTGCAGTTTATATGAGCGACGTACCCTTCTGATCAAATCCACACACACACACACGAATCGCCCTCAAAGTCGATAATACGTCCGTTCACTCATCGTCGAAGTCTCCCGCCTTGCTATGCAACTACAGCGCCTATCTTGACGCTAGTTTTTTGTTTATCAATCTCAGGAAAATAATGACACCTTTTCGATTGTAAGCTACTTTGTAACAAGTCGGCGAGCACTCCTGATTGGGAGCTCGAGTATTCGGAGTTTTTTAAGTCGGCCGAACATTAGGAACTATCATTTTATAAATAAATAATTTGAGATCCTTAACTATGATTGGGTTACTTTCATATCATTTGTTAATTAGAAATTTTTATTGTTTCCTAATTTTGTATTATGGAATTTGTGTTCATATGTTAAAGAAAATACTTTTGGCACTTTTTTGAAAGTAAACGATATAAACAATATCTATGTATGTTTATTAAATGCGAATACTATAACAGCTTCTATAACATAATTTTATATGGAAAATAAACAAGGATGACAAACTTTTAGAGTTTAAAGACCATGCTGCATTTAGGTTGTAAAATATGGCATTGGCAGCTTTTTATTTAAAAGACAGCTTACCTTTACTCGTTCTTTTTATGATATAGTGGTTTTGATAAGCAGTTCATGAAATAATAGGTAGAAACATATATATCTTAAAACGATAAGTAAATAGATATTTAAGGTATCAAAGTTGACACCTTGCAGAGAATTAGCTGTTTAGTCTTTGCAAGGCTTCCCTACGTTGCTCTTTTTCGTTCTAGATCCGCAACTACTAAATTATTCGTATTAAAAAAAAAAAAAGAAATTTTTAGATCTTAAAAGTTACCTTTGCAAACTTTTCAGCTTAATTTTATATACTTGTAATAACTCTCTGTAAAGTTGTTGAAGTTCTTATTTTTAAATGTTCCGATATTATAGTATGAAAAATTGTAAATTTTGTTAAAAGTAGAGAGAAACACTACAACTTATATCTGTTTTACGCATTTTATCGCAAAATTATTTATTTATGTAACATATCTTTATATTGTTTGAACATATATACCGGGATACTCAAGGCAATTATAAACGAAAAAATAAGGTTAAATCAATTAGAACTAATTTAGACCTGGCCAAACGTGAATTTAAGCCAATTTTTATTATCAATAACGCATTATACTTCTAAAGTCTACCTATGGCGAAGATTATAAGCAGCCTTGACAATGTAAGCAAAATATATATAAAGTTTAGCTCTTGGCACAAGTTATTTTTTAGTTGGTTAAGCATATAAGAATTTTTTAAGGTTAATTAACTAATACTCATTTTTTAAAATAATGTATATATAGCCCCTTTATTTTCTAGTTACTATAAAACCATAAGCAATTAATTTCACAGGCTTACATCTCTTTTTTTCGTGTTACTCCCTTCATAACAATTTTTACTTTTAATAATGTTACAAATGCTGATTTCTGATCTCACACGCGTAGTTCTTTAGAATTTCAAAGTAGCGCTTATTAGCGAAATTGATAGAGTAAAGACTAGTGTATTTTAACTAGTCTATCAGGCGCCATGTTATATTTTGCTCTGAGGGACGAGATTTTTACATGTTATAAAATTCATCTAAACCTTCCTAATCGAAGGAACCCAAGATTTTAAAGTATGCACGCCAAAAAAAAAAATTATGAGTTGAAGGTAACTAAATCATAAAAGTATGATTATGGTTGTAGCAAATTATATGAACTTTTTTATTAAACAGCTAGCGTGCGTGTCCCCCACACAAACGAAATTAACATAACACTTTTATTTTACTATTTAATATAGCTAAGCATCCAATTTCAAGAATTGCAGAAATCTTTTACTTCAACTGTTGTTTTTCTTTAGTTGAGGCCAACAATATTTGCTTACCTCGCTTTGAAATTGAGAGTAAAAAAAACGAGATCAGTCATAGAGTTAAAACTTGCCAATTTTAGCATTAAAACGGTCTTATAAGAGAGTAGCCAAGCCTCGTCAACTCTAGGTAAGTTGGTAAAATTTAACTGCATTAAAAGTAATTAAATTGCCCATGGTCAAATTTACTTAATCACCAAAAAGTTCGTTTTTAAAGGGAATTAAACAGATACAAAGGTAAAGATCTACAAAGTTTTCCCAACCTTCCAATTGTCATTCGTAATGCTTTTCATAGGAAAAATAGGTAAGATAACTTTTTATGAAGACATAACTTATAAAACGCCTTTAAAGAACTTAGATTCTACGTAAATTATTCCTTTAAAAACTTTGGAGACTATATGATATTTTGTCTCCCGCTTTTTAATTTGTTTTTCTTGACATAAATTCAGTAAGCTAACAAATACTCCAACACCATTTTACTATTTTACCCAAATTATCCTCTAATCTCACAAAACTCTATTTTTTCTTCCTATAATAAGTGCTCCTTAACTTTCGATTTTTTAAAATAATATTTATTAAATCTTTTAGCAGATAAAAAAATTATTTCCAAATTGTAATACTTATAATACATTCAAAGAATTCATGCTTAACTTATAATCCGCAATAATATTTAAAATTAAGTAAATAAAATAAATTTACAAGTAATCTTAACAAAATTATACATCAATGCTCATAACTAGGTAAAAGCACACTTCTCTCTTCTGAAATATTCTTTAAGGAATTAATAAAAGTAGTAACCAGATATATATTTTAATTTATTTAAATTTCAGAAATTAATAATCACAAAAACGGGCAGCAACCAAAAATAAATAATAAAATGAAATGTGAAGACTGCTAAAGTTTCATTTAAGCATTTTGTCTTAAAGTAAAAGTTGTAGTCCACTCATAATCCTTTTTTGTGTATGCCCGCCCAGGAAAAAATCCAGCTTTGTAACAAACTTTGCAACGGTACGAGGAATGCGGCAAGTAAAAGACGGGCGGGCGGAAGGGCGGGCGCTAAACCCACACCTTAAGATTAGCGTCCCAGCTGCCCGTACAGAGGGCCACGCCGTCTCGTGATACGCCAAGACAGCTCACGCGATTTGCATGTTCACTGAGTCGAGCAACACGTGTCCCTTTGAGTACATCAAATACATTGCACGTGTTGTTGTCGTAGCCGCCGAACAGAAGTCGCCCTGAAAGCGAAAAGTCAACAGAAGTAATTCCGCAAACGACATCCTCTTGCCTTATAAGAATATTATAATCACATGGTGGACGGACCACCACGTGGTGAAAGGGGTTACTTACTGGAAAGAGCAGAGCTTTCGATCGGCCCGAATATCGAATAAACCACACGTGGCATCATCAGAGCCAGTGCCGAAGGCTTTGTCAGACGGAAACATGGCAACCGCATTGATATCCGACTCATGCTCAGCAAAAGTTTGGACACACGAGCCTCAAAAAAAATTATTATAATTAGTATTGTTTATTATTACTATTATTAAACTGTTCGGAAGTATTACTACCAAAAAAGGTAAACAACTTAAAAGTTAATTATTTCCGGTTATTAGTTCCTGAAATTTATTTATTTTTATATTTTACTGAATTGTTTAAAATAGATTATCCTTTTTATTTATTTTTTATTTGATAATTATTATTTTTTAATATTTATTTCATATACTTAATGATAAAAAATATATATTAATTACAAAAGATTTTTTATAACTTATTATCATACGTTATTATCATGTTCATAGTTATAGATTTTTATTATTTACTTATCTTTATTTTATTATTTTTTTTTATTTTGTAATAAAATTTTTTCTTTTTTTAGTTGGGTACTTCTACAAATACAAATTATTATTCTATATTGTAATTTTTAATTATTGTTAAATTTATTTAATATTTACTTTTAAAATTTTTTATATTTAATTTTCACTAAACTAATTATAATTTATTTTATATAATATTATTTTTAATAAATATATATTATTATTATATATATTTTAAAGTTATATATTACCTACCTTTTTCTCTAAATTTAAGATTTATTTCCTAATTATTCATTTTATTATAAATACATTTTTTAAATTTTGTTATTTACTTCTTAATATTATACTTAATTTTTTTAATAAAGATTCTTAATTAACTTATTATTCATTATTAAAAAAATTAATTTTATAAATTTTTATTTTTTACTAAATTAATAAATTTGTATTTTTAATTAAAATTCAAAGAATCCTTTAATTATTTTATATTATTGTATCATAATTTTATTGAATTGATTTAACTATTCACGCTTATTTTTTTAAATATTAAATTGTATTTAACTTATTATCATTGTTGTAGATTTTTATTATTATTTAAATTTGATTTACTAAAATGTTAAGATTATTTATTGACTCAGTATTATTTTATTATTACTCAATATTTTTAATTATAATCAATATTATTGTTAAGTTTTTAATATTTTTATTTTATTTTCTGCTACATTAACCAATATTTATTTCTATGTTTTTTTTATTAGTAATTAAATATTTCAGGATTATAATACTATATTTTTTTTACTTTATTCTTTTAATTGGAAATTTTTTTATTTAACTAATTATAATAATTATATAAAAAAATTAATATATTTAAAAATTATTAATCAATAATGTTACACTCTTATATAACTATTATAATATAATTAAGCACTTTTTATTAGTTTTACTTCATATTAATATCTTTAAATTTACTATTATTATTTATTTACGCACTTTATATTTATTATAATAAAAATTTATATTTTTAATTCTACTATTATTTATTTAAGCTGTTTTAATTTAAATTTATAATTTCTATCTACTATTATTATTTATTTAAGCACTTTAATTTATTTTACTATAAACTTATATTGTTTATTAACAGATTTACAATTTTTAATATTAAGATTTCTTATCTAAATCATTATAATTCATAATAAAAATTTCTATCTATAAATTTACCGGTTATTTCTTTGCAATATATTTTTACAATTTCTTTAGAAATTTATTTTATTTTATAATTTTATATATTTATTTATTAGTTAAAGATTCCTTATTCAACAGATTATAATTATTCAATGTAAAAAAAAAAGTAATTTTCAAATTTCGTAATTAATGATATTTACTTTTTGCATTTTATAAGTAGTATTTTTTATATTATATATTAATTATAAGACAATTTTAAATTCTTTTATTTATAAAATTATTAATATATTAATAATATAAAATCTTGAAAACTATTAATTTTATTAATTAATAATATCTACTTTTTGATATTTATTATTATTTTTTAATATACCATATATCACAATACAATAATTCTATATTTTTTCCTAACTAATTTTTTAATTATATAATTACTAATATTCAGAAGAAAAAATCTTATATATTTTTAGATTTTTATTAATTAATAATGTTAACATTATAATATCCTCAATTCATTATTATCTATAAAATTATAAAATTATAAAATATATTCTTATATTTAACTAATTAATTTTATTTAAAATAAAATAATTTTAATATTTTTAAATTCATTAATTAAAAATATAAACTTTTAGTTTTTTATTGATTATTTATTTAACATTTATTTTAATAATAACCCTTCATAATAGAATAAAGAGACATTTTGAAATTCATAGATTAATGATATTGACTTTTTATTATTCTTTTTAATAATTTTTAAAAATTATTATTTTATTTTGATGTTATAAATTTATATTTTTATTGACTTATATTTTAGATAAATTTTTTATGTTTAACTATTAACACTTTATTCATAAATATACTTTATATTTTCAATTTATTTATTAATAATAATAACTTTTTGAAATTTTTTATTAATAAGCTTTTAAAAAAATTATATTTTATTTTAATATTATAATTTATATTTTTACTAATTTATTTATATATTAATTATAAATTACTAATATTCACTTTTTTAAATATATTATTTATATTTTTAAATATTATTATATTATTATTAATTACCAGTACGAAGATCCCAAAGCTTTACAGTTTGATCACAAGCGCCAGAAATGAACTGAGCGGGGTTGTCCCGCCCGCAAAGGGCAATGCTCATAACATCCAGCGTGTGACCCGTAAACTGTCTTTTAAGAGTTCCTAAAAATGAGCAAAAATTATTAAAATTTATATAAATAAATAAATAAAAAAATCTTTAAGAAAAAAATGAAAAATATAAATTAAGTAAAAAAAAGTTAAAAAGGTTAATAATAAAGAAAAAATAATCAAATAAAAATAAAATTTATATTTAATTTTACTTACTGTAAAAAGATTTTTAAAAAATATTATAATTTAAAAATAGAAACTCTATTTTTTTATTTAAAAAAATTTTCGTAACAAACAAAATTATAAAATTTTTTTTGTAATATTCATATAAATTTTTAAATAGTAGTACTTCTTTAATTAAAAAACTTGAAAATTTATTAACACAAATTTATATCAAGAAATTTATAAAATAATTTAAGAAAAAATTAAGTAAAAATTAAGTAAAAATTATAAAGTTAAATAGTAGGAAAAAATGTATAACTAAAGCTGATATTAAAATTATAATTAATTCTATATTACTAGATTATTAGAAAATACAGAGACAAAAAGAATTATAAAAAAAATAAATTTATAATTGTTATATAAACGTAACTATTAATATTATCAAAAGATAATATTAAAAAAATATTATAACTAAAAATTCAAAAAAAAGATAGTATATTATAATAATTATCATTAAAAAATATAATAATAATGCTGGTTTTATATTAATTTTTTTTTCGTTTATTTTTTTTGGTATTTTATTTATTCATATATACTTTTTTATATTTCTAATTGTTTATAATATAATAAACGCAAATATATTGATAGTGATAATAATATACACCAACCAGTGCTAACATCCCAAAGGCCACATGTCAGGTCGCCCGAACTCGTGACTATTTCCTTATCACTAATAAAACGACAGCACGAGAGATACGCAGCATGAGATTGGAGGACTTGGTAAGATTTTGCCGTTGGGCCAGTAGATGTCAAACTAAAAATAAAAAAATAAACCAATAAAAATTTAACCAGAACTCAAGGTTAAAAATATTTATTAAAATTCCTTTACAATACAAATTCTAATTCATAATATTTTTAAATGTGAATTATTTTTGTCAATAATTTTACTAAACATAATCTATCAGAATTTTTTTGTGATAAATATGTAAAGCCGGAAGATTTAAAAAAAAAATTAGTTATAAAGAATACCAAAATTTATAATATATATTTAAAATAATTTTTTTAAGGGTTAGCAAAATTTATAAAGTTTTAGTCAAAAAAATTATAAAAATTTAAATTTAAAAAAAAATTGTAGAAAAATAAACATTACAATTATATATAAATCTAATGAAAAACTATAAAAAACAAAAAAAATTATAAAAATTAAAATTCTAAAATTATTAAATTAAACTATAAAAAAGTAAATTTAAATTATAGAGACTATAACTAAATAACTTTAAGTTTCTTCAAAAAAATATTAATATTACTATTAACTGGAAATAAATTTAAAACTTTTTATTTAAAAATGCATTTAAATTAAAAAAATCAGAAATAAAACAAAAAGTAAAGGAAAAGATATTTTCTAAAAACTTTATAATATATATATAAATTTTATAATTTAGAAAATTATATTAAGAAAAAGTAAATTTTTAAAATTATTTCGAAGAATAATTTCGATATTTAGAAAGAAATAATTATAAGAAAATTCATTTTTACTAGGAAAATAATATTTCCATAACTATAAGAATATTAAAAAAAAAGTATAAATTTTTTTAATTTATAGATAACTTATTAAAAGTTTATTACAAATTAACATAACTATTCTAATAATAAACATTATAATAAAATCAAAAATAATATATAAAAAAATAACAATTTACAAAGCAAATTTTCAATTAATGCAAAGCTTTTTAAATTATAAATTTATTAAAGGAATTAACAAGGCAAACAAAATAATAATTAAAAATAAAATTAAGTTAATAAAAAATAATAATTGTAGAATGCAAATGCAAATAGATTTTATTAACGAAAATTTATAAAGTTTATAAAAGTATAAAAATACTAATGATAAATGTATTAGCTAAACTACTAAAAATTTAAAAATTGCAGATCTGAATATTATATAACGGTTATGAGTTAATTCTAATAAAAAAGTTTCTTAAAAAAAATTATTATTGAAAAAACGTTAATAAATATAATTTAATTAAAAAATTCAAAACTTAAAATTATAGTCAAGCAAAATATTAAATTGAATAAAAATTAGAGTATAAAATAAACTAAATAGAATTGCGAATAATAAATAAAATTAAAAAAAAATAACTTTCAATTTTATAATAAAATAGATCTATATAATTTTTTTAATAAATAACACATTTCAGATATAATAGTTAAAAGTAATAAAATTGGATTTGGTGTAAAATAAAAATTTTAAATTTACTAAAAAATAAGAACTTTAAATAAAATTTATAATAAATAAATTATATTTTTTAGTTCAAACTTAAAATTAAAATCCCAAAAAAAATTTAAAAGATTGAAATGAAAAAGACTTTGAGTTTTATATAATAATATAAAAACTAAGAATGTTTCATAAAATAATAAATATTTTATTTAATTTAAACTAAAATAAATAAACCTAAATCTTGGTGTAAATTTAAAATAATTCATTTTATTACTAAAGATTTTAATAAAATTTTACATACTTTTTTGCTCCAGAATATAAAAAATTAGATTTCAAAAAAAAATTAAAATAAAATAAAAATTTTCATAATGAAAAATAGCTTAAAAAAATATAAATTTATTTATAAAACTCAAAAATTGAAAACAATTTTTACTATCCACATTCTGAATCTAAAGAAATCTTTTATGTTGTAAAAGCAAAATTATTGCAAACATTAGTAATTATCAAAATTATTAAACTGATAATAAAATAATAAAGTATAAATTTTTAATAATTATAAAAAAATTAACAAAAATTTTTTCTAAAGATCTAAAAATTATACATAATTAAAATTATACATTTTACTTATAACTTTATTTGTTGAATTAAATAGAATTAATAATTATATTATTCAAAAAAAATCAAAGTAACTATAACATTTACTACATAGTATATCATCTTTTTAGTCAAAATTTTAAATTATAAGTATTTAAAAAAAAAATTTATTTTTAAGTTAAACTTATATTGAAAAATATAAGAATGCATAAAAGTTAATCCAAATTACATTACTTTAAGAAAAATAATAACAGAAACATTTTTTACTCAATTTTTTAAAAAATCAATTAATAAATTTTTTTTAATATCTAAAAAACTTTAACCAGTATAAAAGTTACTCAGAATGATTTGCTAAATAACAAAAAAGCACTCAAAATTTAAAAAATTATTAGAAAGAGTTAATTTAATTTATAATTATTAAAAAATAGCAGAAAATTTAAAAATAATAATTAGTATATATTATATTAATAAAAAAAATAAATTAATTAAGAAAAAATTTAAATTTAAAAACCTGTAAATTGTACAAATGTTATCCAAACCGCCGCAGGCAACCAAATTGCCTGAAGGCGAGTAGGCGGTGGTCATAACCCAGCTCGAGCTTAACGGGATCGCAAAGATCTTATTAGTGGTGTACGCATCCCACACAATCAACTTGCCATCTTGAGAGGCTGAAACCAGATGACTAAAATAAAATAAACTAACTAAAACTCTACTCATTTGGGTAAATAAATTTATAATAGGGTGAAAGGTTATATAAAAAACTAATCAAAGTAAAAAATAAAATCTAGGTGCAACTAATTTTCCTAAATTAGTTAACTTTTAAAATATATATATCTGTGTATAAATAATAAACGAAAAAAGTCATTACTTCATTCTTATAAAAATCACTTAAAAAATTACAAAATTACAAAATTTTATTGTAAAAAAAATTGGACCAACTATCCGTAGACCACTGCATGGCATATATCTTCGCAAGATGGCCTTTCAGTGTTCGCTTACACTTAAAAATAACTTTGTTTAGCTCATGCACTATCAAATGGTAAATTAAAAGAATTATTAAATAAAAATAAATTTAAGCAGAGAAATATAACAAAAAAAAATCTACCGTTTGACTTAGAAACGCACTCATTAAATGTGCAGTCATAAACTTCTTCTTTCTTCTTTGCAATCTCTTTTTTGAGATGCTCAGCGGCCGACTTTAGCTCTGCTATTTTGTTAGCCGCCATACCAAATGGTGAATAAAAGATCTGTTAAAATTATAGCAATAAATAAACAGGAAAAAACATTCATTCTTCAAAACAATGATGGTTATTTTTTTAGAACAATACAAAAGTTTTCTTTTAGATAAAATAAAAACTTCAATAATATAAAGCTTAACAAGAGATTACAAAATTAAACGATAAAAAAAAGGCAAATAAAACCTATAAAATAAAAGCAAACTAAAAAAAATTCCCAAAACAATACCACTTAATATAAGAAAATTGAGTCGAAGTGTTTATATACAATAACAAATAATGTACTTTTACAAACTACGCAGAGCAAAAAATAGCAATTATGCAGGTTAAAATTAGAAGGCAATAAAAATAAAGGATCTCACCACGTAGAAAAATGGGAGCCAACTAAAGAAAACAAAAACTACATGCAGAATGGACCATTCAATAACGTAAAGAACCAGTACTAGAATAGCAACTAATAAAAATTACCATTACGGACTGTCCAATCGCGTAGGAAAAAACGACTGTATAAAGTAATCGGTTGTACTTTTAGGTTTTTAACTATCCACAATATTAGTTAAAAGCTATTTTTAAAACTATTTGATTTATAAAGAAAATATACAAAAGGAAGGAATTTAAGATTACTTTTCTTATTTAACTTTATGCTTTTGTTATAAATTGTGTGGGAGAAAGTTAATAGATATTGATATTTGTGGCATTTTTTTTTAGAAATTTAGTTATACATTAACGAGAATAGTAACGTTGCAAAAAATAGTAGTTAATCTCTTATAGTTTACTGGTTACTATGTTTACCACTTTTTGCGTAGGTTCAATTTACTGATTTCTCAGAAACAAAACAAATCTACTTTAAGCCCCCGAATTTTGCCCGTTAAGTAGTTAAGTGAGCTAAGCCTTTACAACGATTCTTTTTCTAACAAGTGGAAGCGAATTCTAGCACATTGTATTAAATAAGAAATAGCGAATTTTTGCTGTGAATCAGTATTGGTAATGAGTGAAGGCAGAGGTTTACCAAAAAATTGTAGATCGTTTCCCACGTGGAAAAAAGTCATGAAAATCTTTTTTCGTAATAATATTTTATAACGTCTCATAATATTTTCCTTAAAAAGGATTCAGGTATTAGGTATTAAGTAATTTTCAATCTCCCAAATTATTCAGCATTTTCCTCCCTTTCCTCCCTTATACTATGGAAATCAGTATACCTACAAAGATTTCTTTGGCCCTGTTTACTGATAAGCTGGTTACACAATGTTAAACGTGGAATAATTTATATATCACTAAGATTTTCTATAACAAAAATACCTCATAAATTTTAAAGTGTTTTTAAGGACATTTTTTCTCTTTTAGGGATTCTATAATTGAAATTAGGTTTGTTATAGTCTAAAAAACCGTGATCCCAGTGAAGTGCAAGTAAGTTTTATTAAATATTGATGTAAGTGGCGCGCTATATAGAGTATACATAATTTATAAAGCTAAATATTTGGTAATTATTATCTACAATGAAAACTAAATGTTTCGACCAAAGTAAAATCAGAGATGGATGGGGAAATGCAATACAATGCCCTTTTATACTTATAATGTAAGGTCAAAGTCTGGAAAGAGCAGGAAATGCAGTTCTTAATTTATAAAGAGAAACCACAATTCG